AAAGACAGAAGGCAACACACAGCAGCGAGAGGGTTAGTACCGCTGCAAAAACACTCGAACGATACTAAAGGGAGGACAATTAAGCTAAAAATGGAGAATGATCGGCAAAAGGCATGCGAGTGGCCATGTTGTAAAAGAAAAAAACCTTCTAATTGGCAGAAGTAATCAGGCGTCCGTGTAGACCGGTATCGTGAAGTGTAGTGCATATATGTGGGGGTTTGGACTGGAAAGCCTACCTCCGTTCAGGACCTCTTGTGCTCTTGTGCTTTTGTACATTTTGTACACCTCGTACCGTAAGCAAAACGGTTTTACACGGCTCGGCTCGGAAGTCAAGATGGCTTCCGAGCCTAATAGTAAATGATCCTCGATCGTCCGTCAGGGACGATTCCCTCAGGCCGGTGGCCTTAATTGCCAAGGAGGGTCCCGTCTCGGCTCGACCAAGGTGGCCATGCCACGGTCAGCCGATTTTGTCAACGACGGAAGACGCCTGCCAGCCAAACGAGCCAGCAACGCCTGCTGAGCCGTATGTGGCTGATGAACGCCACCAGATCCGCCATTCTCCCAAAGCGGCAACAACACTGTCTGCAGCCCGCGCCGCAAGTTTCCGGCCACACGGTAGTGCAGGAGCAGCCGTGTGGGCCAACGCCAGCGTCGCGACGCCGAAGAAGAATCTGCTGCAACAGTGAGTACCGTAACATTTTAAACCCTCGCATACACGCCACATATATGTGAAAACCCACACCCACACGCCACAGAAAAGGGCAAATAAATATGTTAGAAAATGTGAAGATTTCTGTGTTTCATACTTTGTCCGCGTAGCCCCTCCGAATACCCAGTAACATGCCGGCCCTGCGACACAGTTCAGGGGTCTCATGCTACTGAGCTAGTTACCCGGGAGTGTCTGGTCATGCCATAGTCACACTATTGTGCTGCTCCTCTCGTCATGACCAACGTGGTCATCTCAGAGAGATAGCAGTAGGGTGGTTGTTGCGTGCTGTACCATAGATAGTCGGAGATACAAGATTCCGAGATACCATGGAGTTCTACACTCTAGAGAAGATGGATACGGCGGTGCAGCCATCTACATAAAAAATCGTTAAACTTCCGGCAGATCAACATAGCTAACCTATCTACAAACACACAAGCGGTAGCAGTGAGCATACCTAGCATCAATATAGTGGTAGTTTTCATGTACATTAGTCCGTCATCCACAATCAAAGAATTTGAAGAAGACATCACTTGTATTTTTGACTGTGTGAAGCACCACAAAAGGGTGATTGTAGGAGGAGATTCGAACTGTCACCATGCAGGATGGGGAGATGAGCAATGTGACAGGAAGGGGTGCACACTGATGGATTTAATAAAAAGCTACAATTTCCTTATCCTCAATGATGGTTCGAGCACGTACGTCCCAGTTCAATTAGACAGGAGACCATCGGCAATAGACATCTCTATGTGCTCACGCGAGCTATATGGAGATGTAAAAAGGCATGTTTTAGGCTGCGGAATAGGCAGTCGCCATTTGGGAATCCAGATGACCTTAGAGAGGACACCTCGATAATCAGAACGACGATGGATTTACAACAAAAAGACAAATAAACGAGCACCTGACAAAACTGGAAGCAACGAAAGTAGGAAACTTTAAGGATCTTAGCTCACAAGTCCGGAATGCTTGCAAAAACAGCAGGAAACGGGACAACCACTCACCGAAATATTGATGGACTCCCGTTGTAGAAGAGGCCTGGATAAGAAAACGTGAAGCACGAGTTGAATTCAATAGGACGTCTAGCATCGAGAATCTGATAAGCTATTTTCCAGCGTCGTAAGAACGAGGAAAAGCAACGCAAACTAGAGCAATTCGTCGATCAAATCAATCCCTATGCCAGCTCACAGGAGCTGTGGCGGCTGGTAGGAAAGCTAACTGGCAAACGATTTCACCGGAAGGAGCATAACGTTCTATTAGACGATGCAGGAATGGCTGAAAAGTTTTTGGACACCCAATTTGGACTGAACCAAGAATTCGAAGAGTTACCATCTGGAGCATCGTACGCGAGTTATGACATCTTGGACAGGGCGAAATGGACCGAGATAGTCGCTTGAAAGAAATCCACATCAGCGCCAGGAGAAGACAGAATAAGCTATGAGATGCCTAGACAGCTTAAACCAGCAGTGATTGACTTCTTCTTCTTCTTCTTCTTCTTCTTTGCATTTCAAGAAAAATCATTCGGATTTAGAACAGGGCTGTCTACAAACACATGCGTTTCGTACGTGGTAAACAAGGTCAAAATGGACAAAGGCGAAGGGAAACTAACCGCAGCAATCTTTATTGATTTAAGCAACGCCTTCTGTAATGTCAATGTATCAGCATTGGAAGACATAATGAGGAACAAGAGAATGCCACCGGAAATCATTTGCTGGGTGGGAGCTTTTCTCAAAAACCGCAAACTGATCTTCCAGCTGAACAACGGAACCCTATCGAGGACCAAAATCATTTCCAACTGTTCGACAACATTATGCCAATTTAAAAAAAAATGTAATACGAGACTGAAAGTCCAAATCAGATGTTCACTGGATGGGCTAGTTACTTCGAAGACGAACTTGCCCAATATTCAAATGAAACAACTCATTCTATTCGCAATAAACAAAGGACAGAGGACTTATGTACACGGAAGCTTCAAAAAAAGGCAATAAATGTACAATAGGAATATTTGTGGCAAATACAGGGAGAAGATTCTCCTTTCACCTTACCAACGAAATAAGCATAACAGGAACTGAACTCATAGCCATCAAAACAGCATTGGATGTGGTACAAGAGGAATAGTTGGAAGGACATGTCGGCTTCACTGATTCCAAAGCAGCATGTGAAATTTTGGACAACGCTACGGAACAATGTGATCGAGAGGAGATACTCAACGACATTCTGGAGTTAGCGGCACCCTGGAGGATGTCATTACAGTGCATACCAAGCCATGTGGGTGAAAGAGGAAATGAATTGGCTGACTAGTTGGCCAAGCTTGGACTAGGCGAAGAAAACATCGAGAAACTTGAAAATTCGATTTCACACAAAGATGTCTACTGGATCCTGAAAAAACGGAAACACATACAAGCTAACAACTGGTATCGGGACTACGAAAAAGGCAAGACGTTTTTCAAGATACAAACCGAAATTCTGGAAAAGCCTTGGTTTACCAACCTGGATTTAAACGGACAGCAAGTTCGGTTACTGAACCGACTCATGGCGGGACATGATTGGTCAAAATTCTGGCTAGCAAAAATGAATCTGGTGAAAAATCCGAATTGTGAGGAATGTGGCGAAACCGAGAGAGCGGAACATCTGATTTTATGTTGTAGAAGATTCAACAATATTAGGTACAAATACTCCTTCACTAAAGAACACCACAACCTATCCGATCTGATCAAATCGGAAAACCTAAAATTGTACAAGGAAGTATGCCAGTTGAACCAAATCAAAAGCGAAAAATGGTATAGTCGGGAAGTGGCCAGATTTTTTTAATTAATATCATAGTCATTTTAACACTCCTGGACCATTCGTGACTTGTCCGGGGATGAGATTTGAACTCGTGACTGTGGCGTGAGCGGTATGGCATAGGAAGTTTCCGGAATTTATTTTTGAATGTTCATAGCACTTCCTCTATGCAGAACTACCTTTAGCATGTTTCCTAGAAATTTCCAAACAAATCAAGCATAACTTTTCAAAAGGACGTATGTAACATTGGATAGGTAATTAGAAACATTGGATAGCAATGTCTTTATGAGATTATTAAATGCTATTTAAAAGTTAATGCTATTTTTTTTAAAATCTGTTTGTGCTATTAGTTTGATAAAGGGATAGCGTTTAAGAGAATTGTGAAAAATGTCGAATTTTGCAAACACGGACAAAACTTTTGATAAAACAAAATCATACACCTTTTACTTGTGTACTACTCACATACATCCTGATTGATTCGTCGGTATCACACCTTGATTGTTCCATACACCCTGCATTTTTCGTCTATTTGACAGAAGGGTTTTCACATACGTCAAATCAGATACACCGGTTTTTGTTTTGCAGTGAAGATACGTCGGAAGCTTGAAAAGCATTGAGGAATTGTCGGTTGGTTGGTTTATTTACAAAACTACCCAGAGTTGTGAAATAATCAATGTTAAAAGCGGAGATGAGAGGGTCACCGCATTATCTGCTCTCAGATGTTATACGTTTTGTGTTTTTCGTATTAAGAAAGCGCTGGTCAGATTGGTATGTGAAGTTCAATATTGAAGTCAAGATTAAAATGCAATTTTATTAGAATACTTTTGAAATAATAAACATGTTGCTCCCGGAAATACAAAAACAAACATACAAACTTGACGCATTTGCTTTTTTTTTAACATTTATTAAGGAGATTTTTAGCCTTTTGGCTAGTTCATCTCCAAAGACGCATTTGCTGATTGATAGTGATTGCTTTGTTTTTTTCACATACGACGCTTCACTGTGAGCGTATCTGCAGTTTTTGTGTTATCATCAAATTTTAACAGTTAAGTCATGTTGACAATAAAAGGGTGTATCAACACCATTTTAAAAACAATGAATGAAGGTCACATAGGGCGTTCATTAAATATATTTTCCATAAAGCATTACAATTTCAAAACCTTGTTTTTCATTAACTCGTAGGAAAAGCATGTATTTTATATTCGGTTAGATGCAAAATATCGATTTATTTATTTTTGCGACTTACGTCCTTTTGAAAATTTAAGCTTGAAATAACGTAATCTTCCTTTTGAAAGTCTTTAATAATTCCACTTAGCAATTCAAAAACCTTTCTCTTGGAAATTTACAGCAGTTCTCCTAAGAACTCAAATAAGTTTTCCGAACACTTTCTCGAAATTCCCGCCTAATAGCTTAACATAGATTTGAAATACCATCACTAAGCCATCACCCTAGATTGGTTTGGCACAGCTGCAAATCATGCACTAACCATGATCTTATTTTCTCACTCATACAGGCCAAGACGAGGTGGACATCATGCGCCAAACGACGATCCTGGTGTTCGAGATCCTGGAGCGTGCCTGGGCCACCCGGAACTGTGCCCTGATCGACATGAAGATCGAGTTCGGTGTCGACGCCGACGGTCAACTGCTGGTGGCGGACGTCATCGATTCGGACTCGTGGCGTCTGTGGCCATCCGGAGACAAGCGGCTCATGGTGGACAAACAGGTCTACCGCAATCTGGCATCGGTCACCGCATCTGATCTGGACACGGTCAAGCGCAACTTCATGTGGGTCAGCGAACAGTTGGACAACATTCTGCCGAAGAACGATCACCTGGTGGTGGTGCTGATGGGAAGTCCCTCGGACAAGGATCACTGCGAGAAGATTGCCAAGCACTGTCACGAATTAGGGTTGAACGTCGAACTTCGGGTGACTTCGGCCCACAAGGGAACCAAAACCACGCTGCACATCGTCAACGAGTACGAAAGCGTCCTGAGCAACTTGGTGTTTATTACCGTAGCAGGACGTTCCAACGGACTGGGCCCGGTCCTGTCCGGCAATACCAACTATCCGGTGATCAACTGCCCACCGGTGAAGCCGGAAAACATCAACTTGGACGTGTGGTCCAGCTTGAATCTTCCATCCGGGCTGGGATGCGCTACCGTCCTCTACCCGGAGGCGGCGGCCCTGAATGCGGCACAGATTCTCGGTTTGAACAACTTTTTGATTTGGTCCAAGCTGCGCGTCAAGCAGGTCAACAACTTCACCAGCCTGATCTACGCCGACAAGGGCTTCCGCGGGGTCAGGAAGAATGAATAAGCGGTGCATGACAGAAGCTGGCTATTTTTTAAGATGTTAGCATGTTCCATTGACTAGAGTGTAAGGATTATTTGTTGACGATGTAGAGTACAATAAAGTTTATTTTTAATAACATGGAGTTTGCTTAATGTACAGAGTTACGGTGATAACGAAAATTATATCAGTAGAAATATTGAATTTTTAAATTAAAAGTATCCCTAAAATCGTTATTCTAACTACGAAAATATGTAATACAACAAGGTAATGTTAACGGCGCCGGTGGTGTAGTGGTAAGCGTGATTACCTCTCACGCCAGCAGACCTGGGTTCAATCCCAGTCGGCGCCGCCGGGATGTTCTGAGGCATATAACATCTCTGATCACGCCTTCCTTCGGATGGGAAGTAAAGCCGTTGGTCCCCGGTTCTTGAGTTGATGGGTCGATAGGTAGGGTCCAGGTGTGGGAGCTGCCTTCCTGGCACGTCGGTAGCATTGGTGCTCAGCACGGAAAACAAGATCGACGGAAAAAACAAACCAAAGGAAAAAAAAAAAACAAGGTAATGTTCAGTCCAAAAGCAAATGTTTTGATTTTAGCTTGTAGTTTTAAAAGCGGACATTTTCAAATCGAAAATTTGTATAACTGTCAAAACTGATTCTTCATGGGTAGATTTTTCTTAAGATTTTTACCCATTTGTGGGTAGTTCTAAAATAGCGTAAGTATACAAAAAGAATAATTTAAAAGTAAAGTCCCCCAAAAATGTCCCGCGTTTTTCTGCACCCGTGGAATGAAGAATCCTTCACTGGGTGATAAAATCGATCAAGCCGAAAAAATGCAGTGTTCTTTAAGTGGAAGAAGGGGATCAGGCGGAAGCGATCACCAGCAAGCATGTACATAATTTCACAGATGCATTGGAAGAACGAGGAGGGAACTGCTCAACTGATGACTTGCCACAGACTCAAAGCGACCAAATCCAACCAAACCAGTCATTAGCAGGAACTGTACATTTCCCTACACAGCAAAAAAAAATGTAATATCGATCAACGTAATTCAAGCTGATGCATGAAATAATCATGTAATAGCAAAACGCAGATACAATATTACATCAATGGATGTAATTTTGTTCGCAAAATCGATGTACATCGTACAATGTGATTTTACACAACCGATGGATTGACCTGGTTGCAGCAGTTTCGATGTAATATTCAACAACTTTTTTTGCTGTGTATGACAATGACAATTTCCCATCAAATAGCTCCTTCCGGCCGTACAAGTACAAATCACCCTTCGAACTAAAGGGGGGTGGGAGGGTCTCCAAAAAAGGCGGCCAACAGTGAAGAAGAAGGAGTAAACACTCGAAACAAACCGTGTCTGGAGCCGACGTGAACCAGCAAAAAAGCAACCGACGCCACTATCATCGAAGGGCCCCACCGTGTGACTCCGAGGACAGCGAGGAGAAACAGGGAAAGGTCAGATTAGTGATTAATAGACATCTTACTCTATTTTTCTTATCAATCACTCCAAATGCGCACGTCTTTGGGGGCTGCACCCTGCTCGAGGCCAATGAGTACAGAGAGAGGTGAAGCAGATCGTGAAATGTGGTTGTATTAGTAATTCAAAAAATCAACCTAAACGCAAGTAGTGACGTCACTAATTGCATGTATCATACAGAGGTTTTACTCACACAACTTAACCGACTGCTCCACCTCGGTAATCCAGCTCATTGGCTCGAGGCTGCGTCACCGGGGTCAATCGGACCAGCTATAAGCTAGCAGGTAAGCCATCTAAGAAATTCTCTGAACTTCTGTAATGACTCAGTTTTATAAATCTGAAATATTAAACAGCCTTAGCCGCCCGCAAATTTGTAAAATAAGCGCTGAAGACATGTGAAGACATTTTGGCTTGTAGAATATGTTTTTTTCTAAATACACCTGGCATCCCTGCTCGCTTCATATAGCCCTACACGCTTACTTCAGCTTACTCACCGGGTGAGTCGATCGTTCTCAATTTCACCACTCATTCGGCCAAATCCAGGACTTAGAAAAAAAATGCCACCCGTGACGGAGCAAACGCTCTAAGAAACGGCGAAATTATTGTAAACACCGGCCGAAATCTATTAAGGTAAGTAGGAATTGCATGGGGAGACGATTTTCAGTCGTCTTCAGCTCCAGTTAAATGAATCTGGAGCAGGTTATTTCATTTTTTTATCAAAACAAATGAAAAAACAAACTTCCCGGCTGAAAATATCGCAGAGTGGTTTTGACTCACTCTGCTCACTTTTGAGTAGCCATTCTTCCCGCTGAAATGAGCATGTTCGACTCAATTTTGAGTTGTTGCGAGTTAGCGTGTAGCGTTTGTTTACGTTCGCCGCATCGTTTCAGTTGGTTTGTTTTCAGTCTTCTTCCAGTAACGATCAATGCAGGAAGATAATATCGGTGTGAGATTGTTTGTTGTTTGTTTAGTTTTTAGAAGTTAGCAAAGTTTCAGGTAAAATTCGTTTGAAAATGATGAAACGTGCCACCAGTCTGTCACCGGTTAATCCGATCCTGAAGAAAACACGACTCGATTGTGGTAAGTGAAAGTTTCGATTCATACATTGTATGTATTTAATTCATTACCCCGGTGCACGGGATTGCTGTGGGTAAGGGCGGTCAGGGTGAAGTATCTGCATATGCATGTAAACAAGGTTTCTGACTTTTATTTACGGCTACTGACAGTGGGCTGAAGGTGGGGAATAAGAGTTGATATTATCACTGGATGTATTTAATATTGATAGTAATTTTGTGAAAAGCCAATGTTGTGTTTCAATTGACCACTTTGTCAAGCAGTTTTGGCGTGACTTTCTACCAGCGATTTCACAAAAGTGGACCAACTAATTTCTCAAAATAATGTTTTATCTCGAAGTTCGAGTTGTAGTAAACGTCATTTTAACTGCTCGAAAGAAGTGGTTAATTGGTGAATTTTTCGTCATCGCTATACTGCCGTTCTACGCATATCTGTCCCATCCCAAGTAACATTGCAAGTTTTATCGAGGTTTTAAAGTATTCTAAAAGTCTTAATCATGGTCTACACAATCCTCATAAAACCATAATTGTTGCAAGGGATGTTACTTTTGAACGTTTTTCACTTTTGTAGGTAAACTTTCAAATGAAAATAGAAAACATGTTATCTGTTGTGTGCTTATTTAAAAACAACATCAAGTCTAACTGTCCCATGTTGAAATTCTACGCATAACTGTACCACAAAGATTTTTTTACTGAATTTTTTATTGACGAATCGATTTGAGTGAACGAATGATCGAAACAGGATTTATATTTTCAAAAGAAACTCAATGAATCATTTCGGGAAGTAGAAGCTTTATTTTATGCTGAAACATGTTAAGAGAAACGGGAATTCATATTCAAACACCAGATTACAGTTCAGATTTCAAACTGTGCATTATTAAGGCCGGCGTACAATGGATACATTTTCAGGTTTTTTGACAGTTAGCCCTTGCATTATCTGTCAAAAAACCCGAAAACGTATGCATTGTGCTCCGGCCTTTAGAGTAATAATATTCAATTGATAAGAAGCAGTGTAATGATCTTGAAATAAACCAAAGACAAAATAACATGATTTGAAATCTAGGGGAGTCTCACTTTTAGAATGCCCATTGAATATACATCCAATTTAAATCAAATGCATTTAATTTCCATCATTTGCATCAACCATTCAGTGGGATGTGAACATCAACAATAAGCCTGCGCTTTTTCGATGACACCTTTACATACATACATGCATAGATACATACATGTAGAACTCGTCCACCAAGATCGCAAGGGAACGCGGTAATTACTTTATGTAATTTTTATTTATTTATTTGTCAACATCAACAGACTCAATGTAGCCCCAATGTAATTTATTTAGTCAAACCAAGTCAAACGTAATCCTGGTGGATGAACCCTTTATCAGAATAAGACAAAGTTCCTAGAACCTTCGTTGGCAGCAGCTAGAAACGTCTTCGAAATCATGCAGAATTTACTTCGCCGAGAAGGCAAGAAAAATCCGTTGAAACCTCCAGGAACTCCCGCTGGCAGCATCACCGAAATCACGCGGAACTTCGTCCATCGATAACGCAAGAAAATGCCGTCGATATTCCCTGGAACTTCAGTCTGCTGCATCCAATCGCTTCACTGGTATCGTACAGAACCTCTTTCGCCGATAATGCGTGGAAACTTCATCGAAAGTCTCTGGGAACCTCCGTTTGGCAGCATCTGAATTTTCGAGGGGAGTTTCGAAGGAGTTTTCATATGTTCACTGCGGAAAGGGTTCCGAGCAGCCCAGTGGCAGGCGCGTAGGCAACATGTTATACCGTGACAGCGGGCCCAGCACAGCAAAATAGACGATTTGAGCCCGGGACATGCTGCCTACTATCAACCGCTGCTGTTGATATAGGCCTTGTCACTGGCCTGGTTCCGAGAGATTTCGGTGGAGATTTTTAGTGCTGCCAAAGGAGGTTCCAGTGAGCTTCGACGGAGTTTTCTCGCGTTTTCGGTAGAGGAGGCTTCGCATGATCCCGGTGGAGATTTCTCATGCTGCCACCGGAAATTTCGAAGCATTTTTTCCGCGTTCTCGGTCGAGGAGCTTCTTCTCAAGTCAGGAGTGTGGATTTGAGCGAACCGAAGCGAACAACAAAACAGGACAAAACCCTTCATGTATACATGCATGCATTGGTGAGAGGTGTCACTTAGAGCCAACCTGGTCTATACAAGGTGTGGAGATCTAGCCCTCACGTTGGTAGAGGGAAAAAGGTAAACGTTGCGGGAGAGGATGACCACGACGTCATAGCAGTCGAAAGAAAATTTGTGAAATATGGAGTGCAGCAAATTTTAGTTATGTTTGCATGCTGATTGCGCTTGCTTGTACTTTTGTAAAGTATCCGGGAAATATCAGCAGGCGTTTTGTATTTTTATAGTAACTCCTTACTTGGAAACGGGCAAAAACTCACCAGCAGGCTGCTTTTTCATGGTATACAGTGTGCTAATGAAATAATCAATACATTATCTCAACATTCAGTGGAAAAACATTGATAAATTTTGGCTTCATACAGAAATTCTATAATTCATATTCAATTTCCAATGCAAACGCTGATTGAAACAAACGTTATGACGTAACTACGAGCGTGTTTGAGCGTACACACTAACTTTAGATTACTGGAGTCAGTAAATTTTTACTGGGTTTTTGAATTGCGGATCGCTCAGTAATCATCACAGCAATAATGTGCAGTACCGAACTGTCCGTAAGGTCAATCTGTCAAAAATAACTGTTCATTCAGTAAATGGTTCGAGTTGCGTTCAGCAATGTTAACTGGAAAGCCCAGTATTTTTTTGTTTATTTTGCTGTAGTTTAACTGACTAGACAGTTATTTTGTTCATTCTTGTACCGTTTTACCCAGTTTCACACTCATTTTAGTTTACCGAAGTCAGTATAATTTTACTGGATTTTTGAACTGCGGACCACCCAGTTATTAGATCGGTTGCAATTTTGAATACCGAACTTCCAGTAGCAGCAAAATGGAAATGAAACGTTAAAGAATACTATATGTTCAGTAATGCATATAAAACCATTATCGGGGAATCAACCGATGAGCTCAGAACATATGATCAAAATAATGTTGATTGAATATAATGATTATGATTGCAGCAGCATAAAATTCATCAAACGCTTTCAATATAGCTCATGATCAATAATGTTGTTTCGAAATTCTACAATACTTTTAACTGCATACGGTATCATTTGGCGTACAGAACGAACATCGTCTATTTGAACAAAAACTAATGAGAATACAGAACATCATCTATACATTAGTTACTTACCTGAGTTCGATCAGTTTCCTATGTAAAAGTTACAGTCAACTGTACATAATTACGTGGCAACACTTTATTTGCCCAAACTATCCAAGCATTGTGTCTTGTGTCAAATTGCACTGTTCATGATCAGTTATATGCACATCAACATTGATGAGGATTCAGTAAATACTATATAAAACTGTTTCTTCGGTAATATTTTGTACTGAAAATTAGTACAGTTCAGTAAACATACTACTTTACCGTTTAATCCGTAAAAATACTTGCAGTACACAGTATTCTTTTGGCAACTTAACTGATATTCAGTTATTAAATACCGATTGTCGGTTTCAAGCCACGTCTGAACTGATGTTTCAGCTATAATTTTGCTTTGCAAACCAGAGTCAATAAAATTAATTACCGAACACCTAAATCCTGAATGAGTGTGTACGAAAGAAGCAAATCGTTTGTTTGTTTGTTTGTTTGTTTGTTTATTAAGGTTCTATTTACTTTGATGCTTTTTGGAAAATTTCAAAAGCAGTTTTTTCCGACACATTATTTCAGATTGCAAAAAGCTCGCACTATTCGATTCCTTTTGATATTTTACACAAAATGACGCGAGCTTTTTGCAATCTAAAATAATGCGTCGAAAAAACTGCTTTTTATTTTTAAAAAAATGCATCAAAGTAAATAGAACCTTAAGGACATTTTACATATCCGCGATGCATTCATGTCCGCAAATCGTGCGAAGCCGACTGAAAGCCGAGTGAAAAACGAACTGCACCAATACGTAAGGCCTTCATTCCACACCTTGTATAGACCAGGTTGACTTAGAGCTACACACAGCAAAAAATGCACTGGGAAAATGCATTTAATTGTTTTTATGATAAGTGATCTGTCCCTAGTTTGAAATGCAATTTTATGTAGCAAAGATGCATAAACATCTTTCAATATTGGCATGATTAAAAAAGTACGTATTATTGTCTAAAAACAACTAGGAGCAACGCAGTTAACAATGATGGCACTTTCTGTCACTTGATGTGTTCATTAATCAAGCTGATAGCTGCTACCATATTTTGCAGTTAAAATGATGTTCCTGTAGACTGAATCAGAATATCCGTTGTCGTATCGTCCTTTCGTAAATTTAGTCGTTAGAATGTTCTCAATATACTGCTGTCGATGCATTTGGTTGAATATAATGGAATCCTTACTGTGTATGTTAACTTTTCCAAAAACTTTCTTGAAATCATCGAAGTCCACGATTGTTTCTCAAGATGCCCATACTTATAGGCTTTATAGATGTAGTAAACGACGATTGCAGCAATGTCAACGCACTTATTGTTGGTTCCAGTTAATGATGCAAACCTATGTAAACTATCCACTTTCAAAACTTCGCGGAGAACTCAAAAGCACGCTTATGTAAACACAACCACAACCACAAGAGTAAAGACGTCAAACACAACGTGGCCATCAAAGCAACACAGAAACTAATAGTTTTTAGTACGACTGATATGCGTAGAATTTTCTACTTCATAGCCATTTTCTACTTCATAGCAAATGCCGAGGCATAACAGTCCTACTGAATTGTTTTCGTATAAAAATAGGTTTAACTAATTTCATTGTAGGTAATTTCTGTAGTTTTCACTAAAACAAATTGATTCTCATGAAATATGAATATTGCACAAACTTATTTTATCTTATATTTCTTTCAATAAGCAGAAATGATTCGAAACATTATTCGCGATT